TGCAAATACTAGCATTATGTATATTTTTGTCATGTATGATCGATATATTTCCTAGTAGTTTTGAAAGCATTCATTACTCTAAGGATTCATTGCTTCAAAACAGAACTGTTTGGTATACTTATAGAACCAATAAAGGTTTAAAGCATTTTCATATACATAGTCATATTTGGCAATTCCATAAAAATTTGTGAAACAGTTACAAATATAACTAACTGCAGTTTTAAAGAAAAAACATAATCTATAAAATTAATGGTGACCTACCTGTGCAAAGAAGCTAGTTTGTGGCACAAACACAAATCAAATTCTATTCCCAAATTATTTATGCTATGCTGTATTATTGCTTATCATTAAGGATTTGCAATAGCTTTAGAACACACAGTGGTTTGAGACTGAATATTTACATTTTATCAGAATACAAATCCAATTAAATTCTAACTATAAAATGATGCCTTGGGCAAGTGGCAAAGTTTGTCAATAATTGTAGAGGTTGGCAATTGAGAACAATTAGCATGATTTTCATTAAATCTTCTATTATATCTTTAAAACACACCTGGAAAAGCTGATAATATTCTATTGTTATCTTCCCCTGAGACTTCCACCAAAATCCCTGTCTTTGAAAACAGATAAACCCCCTTAAGAGGAAGTACCCACCCAACCCCCCCCCCATTTTTTTCCCCCTCTCCTTCCTCCAAGCACATTTTCTTTGTATTTCTCCTAAGCTCCAAGGACCCTTCTTTTGCCTCTGGAACTTGTTTCCTGAATACACACAATCCAGCTGGCTCATTTCTTCCATGGCTCATTTCTACCTCTGTTACTTTCTAAATAAACTTTTCCCTAGTACATGAAACAATCTATACTAATAAAAGGGTAATATGCTAATTAGACTAGGAGACTGGACATCTTCCGACTGACTTCCTTCTAGACAAAGCCAGTGGTGGGGGCCGAGGCAGAGACAGTTAGGGGCCATGAGGCCAGCAGGGGAGGGCAGTTGGGTGCCATGAGGCCTGCAGGGGAGGGGAGTTTGGGGCCATCAGGCTGGCAGGGGAGCGGTTAGGCAACAATCAAGCTGGTAGGCAGGCAAGTGGTTAGAGTCAGCGGTCCTAGATTGTGAGAGGGATGTCCGACTGCCAGTTTAGGATTGGGCCTAAACCGGCAGTCGGACATCCACCAAGGGGGTCCCAGATTGGAGAAGGTGCATGCCGAATTTTGTGCACCGAGCCTCTAGCAATAAAATAAAACAGATAAGGATAAGTCTTTCATATGAAGTAAGCACACTTTGACCAGCATCTTGGATATACAGGAAGATGGTTAGATCACCAAATATCTAAAGATTTCCTTGTGCTCTGTTGATATATTGGGTAGTCTTTTAGGGCCAGTAAACCCAAGAGAGGAAGAAGGCTAGTTCAGAACAGCAGAATTGGAGGTTCAAACCATATTTCTGCCAATTGGTTCTCTTACAAACTATCTTAACCACTCTTATTTTTAGCTTTATAAACCTTTTATAATGTTGTAGTTTTGGGCTCTATAGTAAGAAGAATTTCATGAGAATTAATGAAAATATCATTCTTATCCCAGAATTAGAAGATACATTTAAATATATGTAGTCATTCACAAGACAGGACTCTAACTCAGCGCCTGCAAGGTCATTGAGTAAAGAATGAGAACTTCAAAATGGACTTCGTGCTTAATTTAATTTTTTTAAAATATATTTTTATTGATTTCAGAGAGGAAGGGAGAGGGACAGAGAGATAGAAACATCAATGATGAGAGAAAATAATTGATTGGCTTCCTCCTGCAAGCCCCAAACTGGGGATCAATCCTGCAACCCAGGCATATGTCCTGACAGGCAATCGAACCTTGACCTCCTGAGCCACGCCTGCCAGGATCCGTGCTTAATTTTAGATAGTGTAATATTAGTTAAAAGGCATTTATTGATAGACTTACATGCTAAAATACTTCTCTAGGTTTTAACAGGAATTGTTTCAAGAGGATAAAGCAGTGGAAAAAATCTAAATTGATTGCTCATTGTCGAATACATTTGTCGAAGATTGATGTCATTATCCGTCAGGTGTGATTAAAGCAAAAAGGAAGAAAGGTGGGATGGAGAGAAAATCAATAGAATGGTAGAAAGGAAAAAAGAGGTGAACATTTCCATCAGCACTGAAAACCAAAATGGATAAGATGACATGTTTCAGAAAGTCAGAGACAACCATCTCAGACTATATCTCAACTCTTTTTTTTTTTGTCCCACCTGCTCATATCTCATACTTCCAAAAAGGCATATCCAAGGCGAGGAAGAGATTCAGGATTATGTAATAGGAAAAAGATATGGTTCAGGCATTAGAGGAAATGGCAGAAAAAAGGAATTGTGATTTTGAAAGGACATGTTCAAAAAATGTGATAATGATTATAATTAACATCTACCAAGGGTTTTGGTAAGTGGCAGATATTAAACTAATTGAATTATACTCATTAGACCATTTATCCTCCCAGTTGTCCTATGAGATAGATATAGCCATTATCCCCCTTTTCAGGTGAAAATAAAAAGCTCAACAATTATAACTCGTCTCTTTCTTAAATCTAGTAACTGGCATAGCACAAAAATCCAAACTGGGACTATTCAATTCTAGAGCTTGGAATATTAAGACCAATTACATAATAATATATTGTGAATATAACTAAAGCCTATGGACAATATAGTGCTTTACAAAAGGTTAATATTGTTGTCCAATGCTGGGTATTTCCTAATAACATATGTTAGAAATGTTTTTTCTTTGATTTAAGAAAAGTTTATTACATTTTTCTGATTATATATGTAATACAACCATGTATAGCAGACTTCATCAAAATATTTTCTATTCAAAATAGACATTTCCAGTAACCTTTGAAAATATGCACCATTAACTTATTACTAAATATTTATACTAACACCCTTGGGACCAGTTATATTTGTGGATTAAAATTTTTTTGAATTTTAGAAAGGTGAGCTAATTAAATACCATAACTGATGAATTACCAGTATGGACCAGGGAACCACCCCAATATCTATTAAAGTAATATTTCTTCAGCAAACCCATGTACATATCTATCTATATCTATATCTATATCTATATCTATATCTATATCTATATCTATATCTATATCTATATCTATATCTATATCTATATGCCTAAGTGACCATCGCAACTGAAACAACTGAACGGATGACAGAACAGGCTGCATGGGGCTACCAGGCCAGCAGGGGGGTTAGTGAGGGCCAACCAAACGACTGAGCAGCAGGCTGCGTGGGGCGACCAGGCCAGCAGGCGGGGTAGTGAGGGGTGACCAAACGACCAAACAGCAGGCTGCATGGGGTGACCAGGCTGGCAGTTGGTGGTGACCAGGTCAGCAAGTGGGGCAGTAAGAGGTGATTAGGCTGGTGGGGGAGGCAGTTAGGGGTGACCAAGGCCGGCAGAGGGGGCAGTGAGGGCCGACCAGGCTGGTGGGGGGGCAGTTGGGGGTGACCAGGCCAGCAGTGAGGGCAGTTGGGGGTGACCAGGCCATCAGGGGAGGGGAAGTTAGGGGCAATCAGACAGGCAGGCAGGTGAGCAATTAGGAGACAGTGGTCCTGGATTGTGAGAGGGATGTCTGACTGCCAGTTTGGGCTCAAACCTGGCGCTCGGGCCTAAACCAGCAGTCGGACATCCCCCGAGGGGTCCAGGATTGGAGAGGGTGCAGACTGGGTTGAGGGGACCTCCCCCCACTGCATGAATTTCATGCACCGGGCCTCTAGTTTGTAATAATTAGAATAAATAAGAACTACAAATCACCTCATGTCAGTTTAGGTCAAAGTTTGCTGCTAAATAAGTTCAAAACCAATTAGGTTTTTGACACCAAATACATTATAAAAAATCCAGAGCTCTATTTCCCAGAATTTTGGATAAGTGATTATGGACCTACATTACACATTTTTTCTCTGTAATCTGAACTTTTTCACTTAATCACCTTCATAAAGATACATTTTTGTGTGATCGCATAGAGAGTCACATTACTCATTTTAATAACTGCATATTATTCCAATTTATTGATGTACCATAGTTTATTGCTAGTGATAAAAATTAATTTTGGTTATTTGTCAAACTGATGTTGACCTCTTTCATCCATCACTTAACTTTCATCACCTGTCATGATATAAATGGCCCATGATTCAAATTATTTTTATTAGGCCACTTTCCTGGACACATTTCTTATATAATAATTCAAAAATTAATAATCTCCTGCATGTGCTCAATAATTTTACATCTTTGTGGCAAAAATGCAAGAAATGGAAGCCATTTTATGAAGTAAAGTGTTATATTGTAAGAAACTTGAAGGCAGGGGAGCTTGTATTCTAACTGACTTTCTTTCTAGCCTAAAATAGGTGTGGCTTTGGGAAGTTCTTAGACTATCTCAGAATAAATGATTTCATATTTTAAATGGTAGAAGTTTTAAATAGTTTTTAAAAGTATATGACGATACTGCAATGTTTTCTAAATGTTTTCTGAATATGGGGCACAGAAAACTTTATCTCTGAGCCATATTGAGATCAATGGTAGCCAACCAGCTTGGCAGCTCTGGCTGATCCAGGACCCACCCTAAAAAGTTGGGGAATCAATACTCCTGGAATAACACTTGAGAAGTTTTGTTATAAAGTATTAATAAAATCAATCTGACTGCCATACAAGTGGGTTACTATTTGAGCTCAGTAATGATCTTGTAGAATCAAATAGTTTTCTACTTCCCTGAGAGTATTGGCTCATTGAAAGTTGATTTTTAAACTAGGGCATATGGACCTGAAGTAGGTAGAAGGAAAATCTGTGTTGGTTCATTAAACTTGTTAGGTATCCAGACTTTTACTCTCACATTTCTCTCTGATCCTCAGCCTATAGGTTTACCATGTTGTCTAACATGTTCCAGTTTCAGCTACTTTGTCCAAACTCTAGCAAGTAGAAGGCAAAATATGAGAAAAGATATACCTGTTTTCCTTAAAGAACACTTTCCAGAATTTATAACTAAAACTTTGCTTGCATCTCATTGGCCGGATGTTATTCTTTCAGTCTTTATCCCAAATGCCCATGTGCCCCATTAAAGTGTCTGAACTTCATTACTAAAAAAAATTGAGAGAACAAATAATATGGAAAAACTACAATTCTTGTTATCATAGATGTAGTAAGCATACATAGCTCTAAAAGAAGAAATGGACGTTTTATTATTCTACAATACCATTTGATTTACAGTAAAATCTGTAAATTAAGACAGGATTTAATGCACTGAACATAGTCAAAGGATCCATATTTTAAAAAATCACTTTTAAAAAAATATTTTTTATTGATTTCAGAGATGAAGGGGTGCGAGAGAGACAGAAACATCAATGATGAGAGAGAACTATTGATTGGCTGCCTTCTGCACACCCCACACTGGGGATCAAGCCCACAACCCAGGCATGTGCCCTGACCTGAAATTGTGATGCTCAACCACTGAGCCACGCTGGATAGGCTAAACCATCACTCTTATAACAAAGTGCTGAACCTCTAATCCATCATCTGCAATATTAATAATTGTACAAAATAAAACTTACTTTATTTTCTAGATATAGGTAGAATTCTGGAGTTTGGGCAATATGACATAAATGTCATCAGCTATCACTGAAAATAATTACTTGTAAATTATTTAATCTTATTTTCCTTTTGTCTTTAATTTACTTTGCAGAGTTGGTTAGAAATACTCTCTCCAGCAGGGTGATGGTATTTTAAAGGAAGACATTACTTTGAATGTTCTATGACTAGAAAAAATAGCTTTTTGATCTTCTATAAACAACTTAAGATGAATAAACAATTTCAAAAGCTTGAAGTTAGTTAAACACCATGTGAAAAGAACTATACCAAATAAATAGCAATTCCTGTAATTTATCTTTCCAAAATACTATAACTTTTCCATTTCAAATATTGAGCTCTATATAAATATAATAGTAATTATGCAAAAACAAAGGTAAATCTATATAAAAACAAAATGTATCATGCTAAATCCATAATTATTCCAGACGCAGACCTTTCACCCTTTACAAAAATGAAATCCAAATGGATCATAGACCTAAATATAAAATGCAAAACTAAAAAAATTCCTAGAAAATAACACAGGAGAAGAACTAAATGACCAGGATATGGTGATGAGTTTTTAAATATAATACCAAATGCACAACAGATGAAAGAAATAATTGATAAGCTGGACTTCATTAAAATTAAAAGTTCTGCTCTGCAATACATTGTCAAGGGATTGAGAAGACAAACCGCAGATTGAGAAAAAATATTTGCGAAAACTTACCTGATAAAGGTCTGCTACCAATAATATACAAAAAATTCTTAAAACTCAACCAAAAGAAAACAAACAACCTGAATAAAAACTGGGCCAAAGACCTTAACAGACACCTCACCAAAGATAATATGCAAATGCAAATAACCATAGGAAAAGATTTTCTACTCATCTTTTATCAGGAAAACACAAATTAAAGAACAATGAGATAACACTACCTACCTTAAAGAATGTCCAAATTCAGAACACTGACACTACCAAATGCTGACAAGGATGTAGAACAACAGGAACTCTCCTTCATTCCTAGTGGGAATCCAAAATGGTAAGTCTAACTTAGAAGCAGTTTGCCAGTTTCATACAGAAGTAAATATACTCTTATCATACCAATCTGGCAATCATGCTACATGACTTTTATTCAAAGTAATTGAAAACCTGTGTCTACACAAAGACCTGCACACAGATATTAATGAAGCTTTATCCATAATACCATCATTGGGGCCACCAACATGTCATTAATGGATAAAAATTTGGGGTACACTGAGGAAGCAGAGTATTATTCACCTCTAAATAGAAATGAGCCAGTAAGTCTTGAAAACACAGTGAAATGCATATAATTAGGTGAAAAAGGCCAATCTGAAAAAGACTACCTTCAGTATGATTCAACCTACATTATATTCTGGACAATGTAAAACAATAGAGACAGGGGGAAAGGTCAGGGGTTAGCAGGAAGGGAAGGAGCACAGAGGATTTTGATGCCAGTGAAACTCTTGAGCTTAATACTATAATGGTGAGTACATGTCATTACACATCTAGAAATGATCCATAACACACTCTGTAATTTTAAAAGAGGATGCATTTTTTTTAAAAAAAAATTGTAGCATATGCTGCTCTTTTCTCTAACAACAGAGTTCCTCTCTTGTCTCCAACATTTTTTTTTTGTTAATCCTCACCCAAGTATATTTTTCCATTTATTTTTAGAGAGAGTGAAAGGGGGAGGGAGATACAGAGAGAAACATTGATGTGAGAGAGACACCTAGATTGGTTGCCTCCTGCATGCACCCTAACCAGGGCCTGGGAACCTGCACCAAGATACATGCCCTGGACTGGAATCAAACCCAGGACCCTTTGGTACGCAGGCCAATTCTCTATCCACTGAGCCAAACTGGCTAGGGCTGAATTGCCATTTTGGAAAAGTTCACTCATCAATGTTACATGTTTCATATTTGGCAAACACAGTTTTATTTTGTATATCTTGATATGAAAATGGACAGTGTATTTCTCCCAGGAATCAGTCATTATACTGAAAAAATAGAGAAGTTTGTGAGTGGGGAAATATTTATTTCTTTACTTCAATTTCTCCAAATGAATTTGGTGACAGGCTTATAGGTTTTAGCTGTTTTCACAATTTACACAATTTAACAAATTGCTTTCAAGCTCTTGCTATTTTTATACAAAATCTTCTTGAGGATCATCTGGGTATAACATTTATAGATGTTTTGACTCTCATCAGCCACCAGCCATGCATAGATTTAATTAGCATTTTAGGAAAGTTTTAAAAGGGTCTGATGAGCATTTCAAGTATAATTTTGTCTTAACAAAGTGCTATTTGTGTATCCTCAATCTGTAGAGAAGTGAATTTCTACTAAAACCTACACTTTCCTAGGTCATTGCAAAACCAGCAATTAGCCCAAGTCAAAGCATTGGGTAAAGTGCTTTTGTAAAGATATTTTTGTGATTATAAAAAAAAATGCAAATAAGTAAGATTAGGTGTTTGCACGTGTGTGTTTAATTCTAATTTCTTTCCAATAAATTTAAAATGAAAGAGGTACAAAGAAAAAGCTCCTCAATTTTATTTTGACACATAAAGATTACAAATGATAAAATCAGTTAACATTTGTATAGTGCTTAAAAAACTACTTGACATATAAAACACACTACATAAGTGAATGTTAAAAATACCTTTTAACACATAATTGGTTAATCATGTTTCCCATGTTTCATAAAAATGTTATTATTTGGGTCCTCTTAATGTGGCAATTTTTCGTGCTCTGTTCTTTATGTATACAACCAGCTTATTGGATTTTAAAGGCCTGAACTAAAAGGGGTAAACCAGGAAAACCAATTTTATTGCCCTCAACCTTGACTTCCTCTCTTCACTTCTACCTTCCATTCCTTTCCCATTCACTAGACTGGCCCTGGCTCTGCCTCCTAATTTGGTAGATACAGTTAATCTAGTGTTGGCACCCTTTAATTTTTGAAAGATGCTCACATGCTTGTCCTTTCTCTCCGGGGTTGCATTTTTGGATTATTTAGACCCTTCCCTGCCTCCTTCCATCACCATTTATACTGACACACCTAGACCGAGTCCTCTAACACCTTCATTCCTGATGTGCACTCTCTCATTACACTCTTTTCAGATGTGAAGGATATGATCTCTGGATGGAAGAAAAATTCTTCCTAACCCAAATCTTGACTGGGAGAGATTTCACTTTCCACCTCCTTTTGGGGAGGAGGCATTTACCTTGCCTCATGACTATCAGTGGACATACAGTTCAGTCTCGACCATCTCTCCACCTTTGGACTTCTCCAGGCAAAAGGTATATACTTGTTTTTCTATCCTCCATACCTCAGATAACATGTGGGATGCTTTCTAAGTACCTATACTGAAGGACCATTACTTGGCTTAAGAAGTATCCTTCCTATTCTCATCTTGATGGAGAATGAAGAACTAGGCAGTTAGTCATTCAATAACTCTTTCCTAAGAAATCCTCAATATGGGACGCCCTCATATTCATCTTACCCTCCCTCCACCCCTGGGTAAAGGGTCAGAGATCCACAAAGCTAAATCTTGCACAAACATGTCCACTTTAAAATAAGGCATTTTAGCACTTCGCTGTACTTAATTTGGAGACTTCAGCCATTACCAAGATATCCAAACAGTTCATTTTTAACATTTAATTAAGTGTGCAAATAATATGTCATCAGTGTTATCCAGGATACCATCAAGGATACTCCTTACAGACATACCAGAAGCAAGTTCAATGGATTCTTATAAATGACTTTAAAATAGAAGTGACCGGCAAAGTTTGCTCATCAAAGAATGAAAGAGCCCACTATCATTTAAAAAAGAATGAAAATGCATTACTTACATATTGCATACTAAGATGAAACCATTCTTTACTGTGGAAAGATTGAAGTTTTTGGCCATCTTTTATAAACAAAGAGAGTTTGAAAGACAAATGTTTAGAACTGAAAATTCATCCTCTTCTTGCCTTTAGAAACTGAAAATCATTGTATCTGTAGTGAATCCCCCTTAGCTGATTATTTCAGAGCTTTAGATTTTCATGACTAACCCTAGAGCCTTTTTATGGGAAATAACTCATAAGTAAGGGAAACATCCATCTCTTATTTTTGAGAATTCATTTATTGTCTTAATAAACCACCCCAAGGTGTCCTGGAAATTAATTTGTCTCCCACTCAAACTATAGCTCCTACCTGATTCTCTTATTAAAATCCTTTGTCAAATTACCTCTGATTGTTCATTTGTAATATATAGTCCCTGCATTAATAAACCACTCATGTTGAGTGGTACCCACAGAACATATATTTGGTTTTCTGCATGTCTCAACAATCATCATAAATAGCGATTACCTGTTAACTGAAGGATTTACATTATTTGATTTACTTGAAGAGAGTTCACAGTTTTCACACTCTGGTGATGAATTTACTAACAGTGTGCAAGTTTTAAAACACTTTTATAAGCCTTACAAAGAATGAGAAGATGCGTTAGCTCAGTATTAAACTTGTCATACTCTACCCCATGTATTTATTTAATTCAATTACTGAAATCCTTGTTTATTCTAACTTGGGTCTTACCAACATATTTTAGAAAAAACCACTATAATTACTATAGCCTTGAGTAGTAAATAAATGAAAGCATGAAATCACACCTGTGTACTCAAAATGAGATTTATTACACATGTAGTTCTCAGTTCAGCTGAACATGTTACGGTGCTCATGGCATCTGCTTTATATTATATAACTTTATTAAACTTTTTACTCATTGGAGGGAGTTGAAAATTTTTGTTTTTTCCAGTTATGTAAGCCCCAGATTAACCTCTTGGAGACATCCAAAAATGTTGCAAGCTTATATTACATTTAACAAAGGCTATTTTATTTTAAAAAACATAAAATGAGATACAGTTTTTTTTGCTAGGACTTTGGTCAAGTTTATCTGGGTTCAAATCTGACAAACTCTTTGTGTCACTCAATCCTAATCTACCTATATGACTCTGATAAAATTTTTGAATTACTTAAAATTTTATGAGCCAGGTTTCTTATCTCTACAATGGAAATAATATTTATTTACACAGAGATGGTGTACAGAAGATTCCAAAAACAAGCAGCTAATTGCATTATGATTTCTACAACACTATTTCTCAAAATAAAATATGGAATTCACCTGGGGATTTTGGTAAAATGTAGATTCTGACTCTGTGGATCTAAGGTAGGACCCAAGATCCATGCAATGGGGGAATATGGAGGGACATCTGTAATATTTTCAACAATAAAGATAAAAAATATTCTGTCGAACATCAACCTATGAACCAGAAGGTCATGGTTCATTCCTGGTCAGGGCACATGCACAGTTTGCTGGCTCGATCCCCAGTAGGGGTCACGGAGGAGGCGGCTAATCTGTGATTCTCTCTCATCATTGATATTTCTATCTCTCTCTCACCCTCTCCCTTGCTCTTTGAAATCAATTAAAAATATATATATACATTAGAAAAGATTCTGCATTTCTAAGAAGCTCCCTGTTGGTCCTTACACTTCCCTGTGAGTAGCAAGGTCCTAGAAGGCCCTCATTAAGTAGTTCCCATTCTACTTTGATAATAAATACTTGCTAGGGAGGCCAAAATATTCTCATTCCATACAGAAAATAACCACTATCTCATCTCCATATTTATGGTGTAATCCATTAATCTCAGTTGTGTATTCAGATCTCACAAAGGAGTTGGCAGGTGTCAAAATTAATCATGGACTAGAAATACTAATGTCAGAAAGAATTTTTGCTACCTGTGACTCAAGTTCCAAACAAAATATTTTTTTATAAAAGCTTAAATAAGGTTTACAGGAGCAGAGACACAAACACAGAGATCTGAAAGTGTTCTAATGTCATCACTTGCCGGAAGGTTTCATAGACCTTAGGAAATTCTGCAAAGAGGCAAAGACAGGTTGACATTGTTTTTGCTGTTCAGATTTTTTGTATACTTTAAGGTACTATCTACACATAAATAATGGGGAATTTGACAGAACATCAAATGCCCCTTAAAGAAAGTGGTAAGAAGTAGGCAGGGGAATGCTGAGAGACAGAGGAAGAGACTTTAGGTAACCAGAATAAAAATTGCTGCCTGATGGGACTCCAGCGGCAAGAACCTCATTTGATAAAATGTTTGATGACTTCTTATAGCGTTAGAGCATTTGGGTTTTATGCTGTGTGATATTCACCCAGTGACAGGCTGACCCTCTTCTCCCACAAGAAGTTATCAGTTCTCGGTAGAAAAGTAATTCTGAGGCTGTCTTGCCAAAGATGAACTCATGAATCAGTGATGCGGGCAGAGGTGGCATCCCAGATAGCATTCTGAAAAATCCATTACATTCTTTAAGAAAGACTGTTTCTCTACTGCTGTCAGGTGCTATTATACCTAAATCATGCAGTTCTATCTGGAAACCCAAGGTGGTCTGGAAGAGTGCCCTAAGGATCTAAACCAAGAGAAAACTATAAAAGTAAAAGTGCCTGGGAGACAGGATATTTTATTATTGAGCAAAGGTCAAGAAGAAAGATGTTGGTCATGTCACTATTCAGTAACAGTTCCAAGCACCACGTTTAATTTAGACCTGGGCGGTATCACACTGTCGATGAGACATGAAATTTTAGAATCAATGAAAAGATGTTCTAAATCAAATGTTAAGAATCACCAAACAAAAGGCCTCAAATGGGGGGTTGTGTGGGAAATAATGTCTAAGAGCTCCAACATTTTGAAGAACAGAACAGCATGCATATACAAGTTACCTCATTAGGTAGGTAACTTGTTTTATATTACTTAAAGACTCCTTCCCTATGACTATTGTATTTGACACACATAAGGGAAAGGATTTATTCATATACTAGAGCAGGCATCCTCAAACTATGGCCCGCAGGCCACATGCGGCCTGCCGAAAACATTGATCTGGCCCGCCAGGTGTTTTTGCCACCGCTGCCTGTCCTGCTTAGCAGCTGACTCGTCCCGGGCCCGCAGTGCACATGTGTGGAATGTCTGAGGGACAGTGAACTGGCCCGCTGTTTAAAAAGTTTGAGGACCTCTGTACTAGAGGCTCGGTGCACAAAAATTTGTGCACTTGGCGGGGGGGTCCCCTCAGCCCAGCCTGTGAGGGGGGTCCCCACTGGGGTGCCTGGCCAGCCTGGGTGAGGGGCTGATGGCTGTTTTCAGGCTGGTCAAGACCCCCAGCGGGGACCCTCACCCCATGAGGGTGTGGCCATCCTTGGTGAGGGGCTGATGGCTGTTTGCAGGTTGGCCACAGCCCCTTCAAAGTAAGGGTCCCTGCTGGGGTGCCTGGCCAGCCTGGGTGAGGGGCTGATGGCTGTTTGCAGGCTAGCCATGGCCCCCAGCCACCCAAGCTCCCAGTGGAGGCTGGCTGTAAACAGGTATCTGGGATTTATTTAGCTTCTATAATTGAAACTTTGTTGCCTTTTGAGGAGGCCACAGCCTGCCAGAGCAGGCGGAAAGCTTGGCTTCCTCCATCATTGGAGCAACCAAACCTCCTGCTTGCTACAGCTCCATGGTTGCCAGCCACCATCTTGATTGGGTTAATTTGCATATAGTTGCTCTGATTGGCTGGTGGGCATGGCTTGGGGTGTAGCAGAGGTGGAGTCAATTTGCATGTTTCTTTTTTATTAGATTAGATAATTATGCATGCTTGGCACTTAGTCTAGTCACAAACCCCAATAGTTGGTTAAGAGTTAAAATGTATTCCACACATATTTGGAAGAAAGAAAAATCAATTATTTTTTCATAGAGTTGGTTATATCAACTTATCTTGATAAATCATGAGAATTTAAAAAATACTACTTGTTTGAGGCTTTTTTTTCTTGTTTACTTTTGCCACAGATAAATGTTTTCTGCTTTTTAAATTGATGTATAATTGACATAGCATTATATTAGTTTCAAATGTACAATGTAATGATTTAATATTTGTACATATTGCAAAATAATCATCCAGTTAACATCCATCACCATACATAATTACAAAATTTTAAAGTTTTGTTTTAATTTATGGTTGTATAGAGATATAATTATTTGTAGAATGCTTATTATCAAAGTGATAATTTAAAGAAAATGGATTTAAAAAAACTATTTGAATATATTAATTACATTCAGCAATATGACTCGTGACAAAATACACAAAACTCATAGTTATTATGCCCTATTAAATATAAAATATCATCAAACAAAAATAACATTTTTATAGAAATGAAATTCCTAAAAAGACAGCTTCACAGATACATACACATACCCAATGTTTAGGTAAAGAAAAATGCACCACTTCTCATAAATGACATAAAAATGAAGACGTCATATAGAATGAAGAATCATTATCTGGCAAAGAGAGAGAGGTAGGAATGAGAAAGTTGGGGAGAGAATTAGAGCTCTTTATTTAAAAATAATTTTGTATTGCTATCAGAGAGGAATGGAGAGGGAGAGAGATACAAACATCAGTGAGAGAGAATCATTGATCGGTTGCTTCCTACGCATCCCCTACTGGCGATCGAGCCCACAGTGCAGGCATATGCCCTGACCAGGAATCCAACTGTGATCTCCTGGTTCATAGGTCAACACTCAACCACTGAGCCACGCTGGGGGCCTAGAGCTCTTTCTGATAGGTCCACACTAAGAATATTCTCATCAATAGTTGCCTACTTAGGAGCTTTCTCCGGTTTCTGTCCCTCAACAAATTATTTACTTTTTAGTATCTGTTGATGATGGAAGTATCTTACTCCATTACATTTGCTGTAACATCTAGGAGTGATTTCTCAATTCAATACTAATATTTAAAACCAGTTATATTAATTTCTAGGTTGTCTGTTGTAGGAGATGGGATAATTACAAAGATCTGTTGTTTTTCTCCTTGGGTTCTAAGAGACAAGCATCTTCTATATATATAAAAGCCTAAGTGACTGTTTCAACTGGTCAATCAATGACCCATCAACTGTTCGCTATGACGGCACTGACCACCAGGAGGCAGGCACTCAACACAGGAGCTACCCCTGGTGGTCAGTGCCCTCCCATAGCCAACCTCCCGGCCGGCCAACCTCTCACAGTCCCTCCTCCTCACTGATTGGCCCCAATCATCCCTGATCAGGATTGGGCGACATAGTTTGATCGGCACTGATCACTGCCCAGGCCGAGGGACCCCACCAGTGCACAAGTTTGTGCACTGGGCCTCTAGTCTAAAAATACTTAGGTCTATCAATAGTATTTTAGGTTTGCTTTGCCCTCTCCTTTCTTCCACCTCTCTCCAGCTATTTTTGCTTAAAGACAATGAATGCTACCTGGAACTGGAATTCTCCTTTCAAATATTAGAGACAAATGAGAAGCCAATGGGTTAATATGCATACCAGTGTTGAAATGGGATGAGTGGTTTGCACTAAATGTTTAAAACAGTGAGCTGAATGACTTAGTTCCTCAGAGT